TGTTATATGATCTTGCGGATCAATTGCACGCTGCAGGTAAACTTGTTTTCCTCTTTTTTAACCCTGGTTAATACATTTTAAAAGGTCACATTAAAAACAATGTTCATCTTAAGTCTTTTATTTTCATGTGTCTATCAAATAAATTCTTAAAATCCTGTTAGTTTAGTTGTAGATAAAATTTTGTCTTGTCCTTGTGGTCAACTGTGTATTTAAATGCCTGTGTATGAAGCAAAATACTGAAGCGTAATATTCCCTGTCCTTCTCAGATCTCCAGAACACAAGCTCTCAAACAAAAAGTGAAGTTGTACAAATTAAAAAATGGTCTTAGCTCACTTTGAAGAGCTGATATTTTCTTCGTACATCCTTATATACTACTCCTTTACAGAAGCCCTTTCACAGTTTTTGTAGTTTGAGTGGCTCTGTCTTTTTGCTATGCTTTTGTATTAACGGGAGAAAACTGACAATGTACAGTGTCTCAGCAAAATATTTTAAGTAAAGGTTGGAGGAGGAGGAGGAACTGTTTGCATTAACTTTTTAACTACGTTAGTTTTAGATTTCACATGTAATAATAAATTTATAGTTTTACATGAATGGCTTTGTTTTTAAATTGGTGGCTTCACTAACTAAATGTCCATGTGGCATTTTCAAGTTTACTTTGATGTTTTTCTTTACTGTGCCTGACTTTGAGCTCCAGAGCAATATAAGATGGCACATGTGTTCTATTCAAACTTGGAGGAACATTATGGGAAAATCCTCTTTTGACAAAGCAACAAGAGAAAATAATGGAAATATGCCAGACTGAAATCCTCGGGTTTAAATATATGGTCCTTTGGTGCTGGGAGTAAGGATTTCCTGTTGCTTATGAAGTGCATTAGCACTTAGTATTTGGAAGTTTCAGCCAGTGGTATAGAGAGGGATTACTATAAGAGCTTTTAAGAGGGAAGTTTCTAAATACATGCCCTTAGAGTGTGGGACTCTTCAGTAAAATGCATGTGCTTTTATGGTGATAGAAATTTGGCTCGCTAATATTTTAAAAGAAAACACTGGAAATATTTTCTTTCAACTAGTTGGAGCTTCCCGTGCAGCTGTTGATGCTGGCTTTGTTCCTAATGACATGCAAGTTGGACAGACGGGCAAAATAGTAGCACCAGTAAGTATGGAAATATCTTTCATAAAAGAGCTGTGATGTTTTCTAGCATGCATTTTCCTTCAAAGCAAATGCTTAGAAATGAGCTAAGTCTTAATGCTGAGCCTTAACAGGCAAATCTTAGTGTGCCCATTGTGATACTGTCACTTGACCGTGCATTTGCAAAACTACAGCAGCAAGCTGGGATGTAAATCTCTGCTTTGGGTCAATCGGAAGTGTTCTGCAGACAGTTTTGTCAGAGGTTTTGCATGCTGGATTTTTGCACAGTTGCCAGTGCTGAACCTTTTTTAGTTTTCTAACAGCCGTCATTGATATGCTAAAAGATGTCATTGCCAACATAAACTTGAAATTATATTGATATGTGGCTTGATCTCTGGGAAGTGTGTTTTTTGGTCTTTTTACAGGTGATGATTTTTTTTAAAGCTTTGGTAACCGTAACTGGATTATTGCATTACGTTCTAAGCAAAATTTTCATAAGAGATGAAAGTGAAAGAAACTTGATATAAATAATCTACAGGTTGGCTGCTGTAGAGTGAAATACCAAGAAGGGCATACTCTAATGAGTGGCTTAACGTTGAGAAATAACCTGCTGCATGTCTTTTCTGCTATGCATCCTGATAATCACAGGGGACTAATTTCTATCCCTGTGTCTTTTTGCATCCTAGGGGGTGCCTTTCTGTCATGTAGAAGTTTGAGACTGCTTTTGTTGTTCCTTATGACCTGGGGAAGTGTGGGGAAAGCGGTAGACAGATAAAACACGCTTGAGCATTTGTAAATAAGAAGGTACAAATGTAGCTCATCTGACTGTGGGGTAGAACGTATGCTAGCGTGTACTGAGATGCGATGATCATGGACATGAGTAGGGAATTGTGACTAAGAACATGGGCAGGTACGGCAATCTGTCAGATGTACACTTCGAGCTACATAATCGAGTAAACATTAGCCTTTCAGTAAGCAGTTCTCTTTGAGTGTGTATGGCGACAGAAGGCACCAAAGAGCAACTTTTTACTTGTTAATGGTTTAATGAGACTGGGAAGGGAGAGTGAGCTGGAACTTAGTAGAGAAACTTGTCACATTTCAACTGCTGAATTTACCAAATCGTAATAATTTAAATAATGCTAAAAAGCTGTACGTGTCCAAAGCCTTGATAGGATCTGAAATGTTTTGCCTTTGTACCATTAAGAGCTGCAAATTCGAGAACTTCAAACTGTGACCATTAGTTTTCCAGTTATACATCCAGCAGGATAGAGCAGTACTTGAAGATATCAAAGACAGCAACTTGTGATTCCTGGAGCGTGTTGTCAGTTCTGCCTGTTGGGTTTTCTTGAACAAGATACTTTGTGCTTCTGAGTTCTTCTGTCCTGAAATGTGGATAGGGCTGTTTGCTGCTTTTTTTAAAGTCCTCATCAGAGGCCTTCTGATGATAACCCTGACGGGATAAGTGGAGCTATTTCTAGGCACACTAATGTTTAACCTGTAAATCTATGTGATAACCAACTGCTACAAAAAACAGCTTCTGTGAAATAGACCTATTGATAAGACTTAAGGTCCATCTGGTTGCATATTGTGTCCTTCCAAAATCTTGATAGCAGTGATATTAACCTCTGCTATGCAAGGAAATTGTGAGGCTTTGCAGATTATAAATGCAACCCTAACTCTTCTTTCTGGTGATGTCTTTCTTTTGTGCATAGTACGTCATTGTTATTTTTTTGGTCATAGTGCAGGAGAGCTGTAGCCCCCAGCGTAATACTTCCTCTTTGCTAAGGGAACATTTGTATTTAAATATAATGCGCTTTCTTTTGATCCCACAGTAGGCATAAGGTCCAATGTATTGCAGCTATAGGTCTCAGCAAGCTAATCAACGCTAATTCAATAAGTGCAACTGCAAATATATGGAAATTGCAGGTTCCAAAGAAGGCAGAGTTGATTGTCATCAGGAGGCAATTTTTAGTTGGTTGCTGTGTACCCAAACCTTCGAAAACCAGGCAGTAAGCTGAGTGTCATTTAACTGCATACTTTGAAAGGGCATGAGATGAGACTGACCATCCTTAGTTCTTCACTACCCAAATATCCATTAATGAAGTGGAAAATGCTAATTTGAAGATAGCTCAGCTCTGGTTTGTGTCTCAAGGCTCAACGATGAACATTCTTTCCAGAGTCAAGGGCATATAAACAACTATGTTGAAACAAAAAAGGCTAGTTTTTGATGAAGATATAGTGCTAGAACTTGCCACAGATGGCTCATAGCAACATGTGAAAGAACATACAGCCGCATCATAGGATCCCTTCAGTGTCATCATTGTCATCTTCTAGAGGATTGTTAAAATAGCCATTGGTCAGTCAGATGTTTAACTATTGTGTCAATAAACGATCCTAACTGGCACAACTGCATGGTGCTACATCTTTTTGTCAGCAGGTTGATGCATTTCTCTCTCATCTCCCTTCTTAACAAATATTTATTAAGTAGTGAGTTATGCAGAGTACTGAAAATTATATGCCCCTTCTTTCACATTGTTCAAATATTTCTTCTGGATCTTAAAATACATGCAAGGGCAGCATACAGTGGCTTAGAAGTATGGAAAATATGTTAATTGTAATGGAAATGCAAGTTGAATTGATACTGAGCCCTCAGAGTTGCTGACTAGAGGAATTAATTTTTCAATGTGCTGGATAGGTATCTTAAATATGAGGCAGTTTAAAGCTGCAAATTCTTAACTTCACGTTCCTAATTCTACTTCACTGTCTTTTTGGTACTTTAGCTAGACAATTATTCTGTGCAGTGGAAGATAGAGTTCACTTGAAGAAGGAGTAGAACTGAACTTTCTTGATCAGATCAAGATTATACTGGCTATTTTAACAATCCTCTAGAAGATGACTGCTTTCTCTTCCTATGAGGTATGCTTGATACCACTAGTTTAGGGAGAGCTCGTGACATTTTATCTGGAAAATTGCAAAGCAGCTTTGTACATTGGTTAGTTATATTAGCTGAGACCTGAGTTTTGTGTTTAGTTTTGAACTCCAGTTGACATGGTGCATGCCCTCCTGGACGTGTGGGTTTTAAGCAGGGGAAGAAGCTTGGGTATGAGAAACTGTTGGAGTTTGAGACATACTTGCTCTCCTGTGCAGCTGTTAGTTTCTGATGGGAAAGTATCTTAGCGTATGCTCTTACTCTTCTATTAATAGTCTCTTGCCCAGTCTCAGTGGAGGATTGGAATGCATTGTTTTTAAAGGACTCTGGAATCGGGTCATTTTTGAGACTCCAGAGGGAGAAGAGTTAGTTACAAGCTCAGGAAGAGGGGAGGTGCTTGTACTGCTGCTTTTTGTGTATGACTGCTGGGGAGTGTTTCTGTGCTGATCATTGGGTAAGAAGGTAATAATCTAAAAGACCTGCTTATTTCTTCCCTTGTGGCTTTGTGGATTTGGTGAAGGAAGGGTAATTTTCGTCACTGGTCTTCCAGTATTTCCGTGACTGGCTTCAGTTTTTAAGAGTGCAGCCCGGACAGAGCATCACAGGACGTGAGAACCTCACAGCCACAGCGGCTTTCCTGAAATGCTGATGTATTCATACATGAACAAACTGCCGGTCAAGAAACAATTGTAGTTCATTTTGCTTAAGTAATGAAAGAATTAAGTTAATTAAGGAGTACAAATTTCACCTTCTTTCTGTTTGAGGATTAGTTCTAAACAGCACATCTACGCTTCCAAAATAACCCTGGATCTCTAAACTTCGAGCTTTTGTTCATGTTGGAATTTATGCATTTTGTTGTTTTTTGACTGGATCTTTGGTAATTTTTCTTTTGTATGATTTTATTCCAGTTGTTAAAACCTTTGGTGTATTATTTTCGTTTGTGTTAGTAGCTTTTTTTTACCTGTTGATTTCAGGTGATTGCAGCTCCTGTTTGAACATTCTGTCTTATGAAAGAGAAGGCTGATTTGTATTATTTGATGAGATGGAAGGAAGGAAATTTTTAGGCATAAGTGGATATATTAAAATATAAAATGTTACCTTCCTAATTAAAAAAGTAATTTAGTATATTCAATGTCTTTAATCAGTGACAACCATTTTAGGAGTGTATTTTTTTAAATTAGAAGCCAGTTGTTTTCCACTATTTCTTATATGCAGGTGTTCTGCAGAAAAATGAAATTCAGTTCTTGGATTAAGCACTGTATGTAGCGTCTGTTGGAGAAAAAAGCCCTTTTAAGAATGTTCAAATTAGTTGGTTTTGGATAAAAATATCCTTCCCATGAGTGCCTATCGTTAAGTATTAGTTAAGTATATCCAGTTAGAAAATAGTAAATTCCCTGCACAAATCAAGCCTGCCGCCACCACCACCCCAGAGTAACTGCTATTTTTAGATAAGAAATTTCAAATAGTCAGGGGCGTCAGTTTTGACAGTAAAAGTCTTCCCAGTTCTTTCTATCTTGTTCACAAAAAAAAAAAGAAACAAGAACAAAAGGGGGGAGGAGAAGAAAGAAGGTAAATACTGTTTTTCAGTTATTTAAAACTTTTTTAAATGGAACATGAATGGTTCATTTATTAGTTCAGTATTAGCTTTCCTTACCCTAGGCATAATTAGCAACATTTCTAACATACAAACAAGTATGTAATCTTTCTCATGAACTTGTGTAATTTGTCTAATATTTAAACAAAAAAATTCTGACTGTTGTGAGAAAAGGAAAGCAACTGCTATAAGCCTTAAGTAGCTTCTGCTAGTTTCTGAACTGTGACCTTTGCAGTACAGATTTGCGAGGAAGGGGCATATAGGGGATGATTGAATGCCTGCAAATTGGTGTCTAATGCCATTTTAGCCACCTGGGGTATAAAAAGTACATTCACAGGGCTGGTAGTTACTGTGTGGGACCTGGAGACTTCCTTCTGGAGCAGCATTCAGGTGGGAAATCCTACACTGTCTACAATGCCACTAGGCGGCTATGTTTGGACACCCACATTGTTCCCATGGTCTCCCAAGTTTTCCCTTGTGTCCTATTCGAATTATATTCTC